GGTAGGGGCTTGGGGAGGAGGGATGCGGAGTTGTTTAGTGGGTATGGTATTTCAGTTTGAGAAGACGGAGGTGGGTTCTGGAGGTGGATTGTGGTGATGGGCACAACATTATGAGTATATTTAGTACCATTGCAGATGTTCAGCACATTTTGGTTTTGATTTTTCTCTTTGTGTTGGCCTTTCTCTTTCCTTCTGTAATTGGACTCAGTCCTAATGTCTGGGTTGGGGCCAGGGTCAGAGGTCAGTGCCTGCCCTGAGTCTGTTCCAGTCTTACTGGTCAGGCGTTTTGTAGGATGCTTCTCTTTGTGGGTTGGTGTGATGTTTTTCTCATGGTTAGATGGGTTATGGAGGACATCCATGGTGGAGTAGCACACTCCTCATCCCACGCAGGTCCCTTTGGAAGGTAGAATCAATGGGATCAGGTGTTGTTGGGTGAGGCGTGGGAAGGGAGAAGGCAAGGTTTTTGGTGTGAGCAACTGGAAGAGTAGGGCTGCTGTCATCTGGGATGGGAAGTTAGGTTTGGGGGCTGGGAAGATCAGAGGCTTTCTTTGGGCTGTGGAGGTGCAGTGTCCAGGGAAATGGGTAGGTCCCTGACACCAGGCCTAAGTGGCTTGTCCACTCCTGTGGTCAGAGCAGTGGGGGACTGTGATGGGCTGCCCCCCACCCTTGCATGGAGTGTGGGGCAAGGAGTTTTCCAAAGGGAGGGACATGCAATCCTACAGGAGATGGTGAGAAGGAAAATTGGGCAGACACACTCACTGCTGTCCTGAGGGTTAGACTACCACCGGGAGGGTGAGCAGATCTGGGGGGTCTGGTGAGTTCTGATTTGGACGTAGTGAGTGTGGACCATTGTTGGGATGTACAGGAGCAGCTGGGTCCAGCCGAGGGCAGGAAAAACCACACAGATCCACATGGTCAACATCATTGCCTTCCGCCTTTTGTTCCATCCCTGTTTCCTGCTCTCAGTTTTCTAATTAAAAATTTTTTTCCCACAAATTTATTAAGATATAATTCACGTGCCACACAGTTCACCCATTTAAATGTACTATTTATTTTTAGTATATTCACAGAGTGGTGCAACCATCCTCACAATCAATTGTAGAACATTTTATCACCTCAGAAAGAAACATTGCTCCCTTTTAGCCATCACCTCCTAATTCCCCATCCCCACAACCCTAGGAAACCACTAATCTGCTTTCTGTTCCTGTGGATTTACCTATTCTGGACATATCATATAAATGGAATATACACGATATGGCCCTTTGTGTCTAATTTCTTTCACTTGGCATGTTTTCAAGTTCATCCATGTTGTAGCATGTGTCAGAACTTCATCCCTTTTCGTAGCGGTATAGTATTCCATTGTATGGATACATTGCATTTTGTTTATTCAGCTGTGGATAGACATTTGTGTTGTTTCTACCCTTTGGCTATTGTGAATAGTGCTGTTGTGAACATTTGTGTGCATATTTTTGTGTCGATGTATGTTTTTATTTCTTGAGTAAATACCTGAGTGGCTTTTTAAAAAAAAATTTATTCCTTTCCTGTGCTTATAGGAGGCAACATCATCCTGGCCTGTCGAGACATGGAGAAATGTGAAGCAGCAGCAAAGGACATTCGCAGGGAGACCCTCAACCACCGTGTCAATGCCCGACACCTGGACTTGGCTTCCCTCAAGTCCATCCGAGAGTTTGCACTGAGGATCATTGAAGGTAGGCAGGAGAATGCTGGCCTTGTGGATGAGGTCTGGGGCGGCTGGCTCCCAAGGCCAGGCCAGGAGTGGATTAAACCAAGCAAGGTCTAGAGCAGGGGTTGGCAAACTATGGCCCAGGGGCCAAAACCAGTTGTTGTCTTTTTTTGTACTGACTGAGAGTGAAAATTTTACAGTTTACCTTTTTTTTTTTTTTTAAACTTTTTTTACATTTACATAGTTAACATTTTAAATGATTGGAAAAAAAAATCAAAATACTAATAATATTTTATGACTTGAAGTTCAAATTTCAGTGTCCATAAATATAGTTTTATTGGAACATAGTCATGCCCATTCATTTATATATTGTCTGGCTACTTTTGCACTATAATGGCAGAATTTGGTAGAAACATTGTATGGCCTGCAAAGCCCAAACTGCTAAATAGCTGGTCCTTTACAGAAAATGTTTCCTCGGGCCGGCCCGGTGGCGCACTGCTATAGTGCGCCGCTTGGGAAGTG